TTCCCCGCCGGGGAGAGCGGGGTCCCCCCCGTGCAGCCAGGGCGAACGCGGCCGGGGAGCTTCCCTCACTGCTGCCCTCCCTCCCAGAGCGCCAGTGGAACATGTGGATCCCGGGCTTCGGTTCTGAAGAAATCAGGCCCTACAAAAAAGCCTGCACTACAGAAGCTCACAAACAGGTAAGGAGCCCTTGGGAGTAACACCTAGAGTAGGTAGAAGGATAACAGGGGCAGAGGTTCCGGTGCTGCTGGCACCACATGAATTTGCATGCTCTCTTCCCGGGGCTTTGGAATTGAATCCCCTTCGAGGGTCCCCTCGCACGTCCCCGCAGGGGGCTGCGGTTGTGCAGATCCCGGCGCAGCGGGAGAGCCGTGTCCAGGAACGCTGGGTTCAGTGGGGGTACGCGCCAGGAACCGGGAGCCTCCGCACCGCCCTTGCCACCCTAGGAAGAGAAACAGCTGCAAGAGGCTTAGAGGCCTGGGAAGGTGCAGGGAGAGAGACAGCTGTCCTGGAATTTCAGCTGGAGACTGGAGCAGAGCAGCTCTGTTTTCCCTTAGTTTTTCTTCCAGTGTGTTGGGCTGCTGCTACTCGAACATGAAGTCAGCGGCGAAGGCCGTGGGGCGGGCTGGATTCGACGCACGGTTCAGTCCTCGTGCCCCTCACCTGCAGCTGGAGTTTTACGCGGTTGCTGCAGGCTGGAGGTGCCAGGGAGACTCCAGGTGCTGCTTGGCTGGCTCCAAGCGCACTGGGATTTCAATGAACTCGAAGGGCCGGTGTTGGAGCGAGTCAGGCAGCATCCCGAGGGGAGCCGAGATCCCGTCTCCTCAGCCCTGTTCCCGCAGGGGTGGTTTCCAAGCTCGTTTCGCAGTTCCCTTGCCAAGGCTCTTGGCTTCCCGTGTTTTTCTTGTCGCAGAGAATGGCGTTGATCCGCAAAACTACCAAGAAATAAGCGCTGGGAAGAGCCGGGAGATGACGCCAGTGCATTTTGGGATCTATCTGCCTCTCCGCCGACGCCTCTGCGATGCCATCCATGGGATATTTTTTTTAATGCTTACAGAGAAGCATATATTTTTTATTAATGGTGCAGCAATATCTGACTTAATGGGGAGATCTGCCAAAAACGTTCTACGCCCCTTTCCTCATCCTCACTAAGAGTGCAACGTATCTCAAAACAAAGACTTTTTATTTGTGACTTGGAAGTGGTTTATCGTATCAGTGATTATCCAAGGGACAGAGCATTTGATCTTGTGTGGGACAGTATTAGCAGCATCTGTAGAGGTTTTTGTTTCCTCCTTCCCGCCCCTACCTGTTCCAGTACTTTGTAATGTCAGTGTTTATATAAATACTTGAGTTTGTTTTACATGAATAAAGAAATTATTAAGCTAAGGACAGGGCCTGGTCCCGTGCAGTGCAAGGGGCAGGGAGAGAAGCCGCGAGGGAGAGGAGCAGCCGGGGGAGACCTGGGGTTTTGCGCATCGCGTCGGAGGGCTCCGGGAGGGAGCGGGAGGGAGCGGGAGGGTTTGGCTGCTTCCCGGCCGCACTAACAGGGCTC